AAAAAAAAAAAAAGAATGAATAAGGATAGCAACTCTGTTACAGAATTCTGAAAGTTCTAGTAAAGCAGAGAAAAAATAAGAATTCTCTAAACACAGCAGTTGGGACCAAAAAACAAACAAACAAACAAAAAGAATGATCACTTCGGAAAGTATACCATCACTGTTACTGATACTATAAAACCCCAAGTAAACCTCCCCGACATCTATTAAAATGAGTGAGTTCAAGACCTAAAGATGTCAGTCAGTGGTAGAATGAATGCCTAGTGTGCATGAGGCTCAACTCCCAGCACCACCAAAAATATCCAAAAATAAAAAATGAGCAAACTAATCACATAGAATGGCCCTGAAAGTATGTATTTTCCTATATATAGAATAACTATCCTCAACAAATTAATGGAAGTTGGCATGATGGTATATGCCTGAAACCCCAGTACTAGGGGAATGGAGCCGGAGGGTCAGGAATTCAAGATTAGCCTTGGCTACATAGTAAGTTCAAGGCCAGCCTAGGCTTCTTGCCAACCTACTTTAAATAATAACAAAAATTAATAGATTAAGATTCAAGTTATTATAATTGAAATCTTTAAAAACATGTAGATCCAGGCGGTGGTGGCACAAGCCTTTAATCCCAGCACTCGGGAGGCAGAGGCAGGCCGATCTTTGTTCGTTTGAAGCCAGCCTGGGCTACCAAGTGAGTTCCAGCAAAGGCGCAAAGCTACACAGAGAAACCCTGTCTCTAAAAACCAAAAAAAATAAATAAATAAACCACGTAGAATTTGTTTAAAAATGTAAACTGAAGTAAGACAAAGACAGAAATCCACTTAAAATGTTTATGTCAGCTCTGGTGTGGCAGCACACGTATATAATCCCAGTACTTGGAAAGATCAATAGTCGGGTCTCTCTTTGATGCGTAGTGGTCTTGAGAGCAGCTACAAGAATAGAAGCTGCTAACTAGTTGAATATCTACCAAAGGAGATGATTTACTATTGGATTATACTTTATCCATCCAGTTTGATAATTATTTCAAAGCAGTTTTATACTCTGTCATAAATATTTTAGACAAAGATAAATTTAAGCATGAGACTACAGATTTTATTACTGCGTTTTCTTCCTTCTTTTTTCCTTTTTTTTTTTCTTTTTAATTTGTATTTGGTGTTTGAGACATGGTCTCTCCACGTAACCCTGGCTGTCGTGGAACTCAGAGATCTGCCTGTCTCTGCCTCTAGTTCAGGGATTAAAGGCCTGTGCCAGCAAACCTGATTTATTCCTGCTTTATAGTAGCTGAAGTAAAGGATCCTGGTCACACATTAATGGCATTGAATTGCTAGGGAGAAACAATTATTTTAATATCAAGAACAAAGGAAATATATCTCATGGGTCTCAAAAAGAGCATACCAGGTAGAGAATAATTGCTTTAACAGCTTAAGAAAACTATGTCCCACCTTACAAACTGGTTTCTGCATAGTGTTGTGGAACAGGTAGGTGTATGCATGTGTGCTGAAGTGCAAGGAGCATGGTGATGTTAATAGCTGGAATGGTCTTAGGGATAGGCCAGACCACTACCCAGAGTCAGCTGAGAAAAGTTTTAGCTCCGGTATGTTGTGGTTGTTAGCTAATGTATTGTACCACCTTGTGCCTACTGTGCTAGTTAGCTTTTGACAAACTTCACACGAGCTAGAGACATCTGGGAAGAGAGGAGAACCTCAGTTGGAAAAAAAATTTGGGGGCTGGAGAGATGGCTCAGTGGTTAAGAAAACCACCTGCTCCTTCAGAGGACCCACCATATGGCAGCTTGTAACCATCTGTAATTCCAGTCTCAGGGGATCCTACATGCCCTTCTGGCTTCCATAGGCACCAGGAATGCATGTGGTACAGTTAGACATGCAGGAAAAACAAAAACAAAAACAACCTCTAGTCAGCTGTGGTGGCATACACCTTTAAGCCTAGCGCTGGGGAGGCAGAGGCAGGCGGATCTCTGTGAGTTTGAGGCCAGCCTGGTCTACACAGTGAGTTCCAGGACAGCCAAAGCTATATAGACCCTGACTCAAAAGCTAAAAAAGCCTCCATCAGGTAAGCCTGTAGGCAAGTCTGTGGGTCATATTCTTGATTAATGATTGATGTGGGAGAGTACAGCCCACAGTGGGCAATGCCAGCCCTGGGCAGGTGGTCTTGGGGAGTATAAAAAAAGTGGAGTAAGCTGTGAAGAGAAAGTTAGTAAGCAACTTACTCCATGGTCTCTGCTTAGTTCCTGCCCTGACTTCTCACAGTGATGGACTGTGATGTGGAAGTGTAAGCCAACTAACCCCTTTCTCCAGCAACAAGATGCAAACTAATACAGTGTCTTCATTACTGTTCTGTTGCAGGGGGAGACACCATGACCAAGGCAACTTATTTAAAGCAAACAAACAACAAACAAACAGAAAAAAAACCGCTTAATTTGGAAGCTTGCTTACAGTTTCAGATGATTAGTTTTTGATCATGGCAAAGAGCATGAAGGCAGGCAGGCAGGGAGGCATGGTCCTGGAGAAGTAGCTGAGAGCTCACAGTTACAGGCAGAGTGAGAAACAGAAACAGGCAGACTGAGCCTGGTGTGAGCTTTTGAAACCTCCTCTAGTGACACCCACCTCCACCAATCCTTTCTAAACAGTTCCAGTACTGGGACCAACCATTCAAACCTAAGTGCCTGTGGGGGCATTCTCATTCAAACCATCATATATAGCAACTAAATTATTTTTCTCTGTTTTAAATTTTCTAGTGCTAGGGATTGAACCTAGAGGTTTTTTTTGTTTTTGTTTTTGTTTTGTTGTTGTTGTTGTTGTTGTTTTGTTTTGTTTTTTGGTTTTTCAAGACGAGGTTTCTTTGTGTAGTTTAAAAGTTACTTGTGGTGGTTGGGATTGAGCCCAGAACCTTATGCATGCTAGCTAAGTAAGTGCACTACCATTGACTTCTACCCACAGCCCTAAAATTGTATTAACGTGTTATCATTTGTTTTTGCTCCAGGTGTGGATCATCCAAACTCCTGAGAAATCTGGCAGGTAGTAGTATGGGATATGACCTGCCACGGCCCCCAAAGATACCAGGCAGGAAGCAAGAGGTGCCATTGAAGCTAAAATGAAGAGAATTTAATGTGGATGGACAGAACAGCTTCTGTGTGTTCCTTCCAACTCAGTAAGTGCTGTGGAGAAAGGCAGTCCATGTTCTGCTGTCCTAGGCTCATGCTTCAGTAATGTTCTCGTGGAGCTGGCTGCCGTTGACCAAGTTGGAGCAGCTTTAGGAGCTGGCTAATAAGACTTTTGGTGAGAAGGCTCTTACACAGGTCTAAAGAGGCAGTAACAATGGGCAGGGCCCATTAAAGTTCCCCTCTAGACTTGATCCAGTATATGTTGGAAAGGGTATTCAAGATTTCCATGGTTCAGGGCTGGGGAATGTAACTCATTTGGTAGAGTGCTTGCCTAGCATGTAGGAAATCCTTATTTAATCTTCATTACCACATAAACTGAGTGTGGTGGCACATACTCATAGGAAGCAGAGGTAGGGGGATCAGAAGTTCATGGCTTGGGCCACTAGAGACCTTATCTCAAAACCACAAAACAAAACAAAAAACAACTTCCACATTTCTATGTCATACATTAATTTTTAAATTTTATTTTATATGTGTGGTTGTGTTACCTGCATGGTGTTTGTACCATGTGCATGTCTGGTACCCAAAGAGGCCAGAAGAAGGCACCAGATCCTTTGGACTGGAGTTGGAGTTGGTTGTAGGCCATCATGTGGGTGCTGGGAATTGAACCTAGGTCCTCTCAAAGAACAACCAGTGCTCTAAACTTCTGGCTTTCTCTGAGAAACTACCCTAATTTTAATTCATTGAGCACTCTGGGGATAAGTGAGGTGGCCCAGCCCATAAAGGAATTCTGCCCTTAGGACCCCCATAGTAGAGTGAGAGGACCAGCTTCTGCCAAATTGTCCTTGACTTCCCCCACACACTATGGCATTCATGAGCCACACATAGACTTGCACAATAAATAAATAAATGTAATTTTACAGAAGTTTCTTCAGTGAAGGAATCTGAAGGATCAGTAGATGAGTCAGATGGTAAAGGTGCCTGTAGTCCGGAGCCCAACTCCCTGAGTTCAATACCTAGAACCCTGTAAAGGTGAAGGGAAGAAATGGATTGTCCTCTGACCTACCTCCACAGTGGCACATGTGTCCTCACACACACATCGTATGCACAAATACACAGTAACAGTTTTTACAGTTAAGAAAAAGGGAATCTGGTATACTTAAATAAATGGACATAAATGCCATGCTCATGAGGATTCCATGTCATGAGGGTCCATGATGGCCCCCTCAACTGCTGAAAGAATCTGTAAGCCAAGAAAAATACCTCAGCCTCCTCAAAAAGAGTTTGGACTCTTCCAGGTGTGTATACTAAGGAAGCATTTCCACTTAGAAGGGTTAAGAGTGCCCAGCACCACTGTGATTGTTTACACACACACACACACACACACACACACACACACACACACACACACACACACACACACACACCGCCCTTCTGTTCTCTGCTGCTTGTATACTATCTCCTTCCTATGGGAGCCTCTGCAGCACCATGTGCTTTGCCAACCTGGAGAACTTACATCAGATAATTGCCTTCTCCAGCCTGGGGACATGGCTCAGCAGCTCAGCACACTGGTGCAGAGGACCTGGGTTCAGTCCCAGCACCCACATAGTGGTTCAGAACCTCCCGTAACCCCAGTCCCAGGGGACCTGAGCTTCTTCTGACCTTTTTTGGGTTCCTGCACACCCATGGTGCCCAGTCATACACTCAGACACACACATACACAATAAATAAAATATTTTTTTAAAAAGGAAAGAAAATTGCCTTCTTAACTTTTCAGTGAGCATTCCCTCAGCATCAGTAGGATACAGGGAAATGGTGTGGACTGGGAGAATGTACTAGAAGTTCTGCTTCTGCCCTATTTGCTCCTCTCTTAGATTCAGCTCCTTAAAGTTCAAAACTGATACTTACTTATTTTTGCTTTTTTAAGACAGGGTTTCTCTGTGTAGCTCTGGCTGTCCTGGAACATGCTCTGTAGACCAGGATGGCCTTGAACTCACAGAGATCCACCTGCCTCTGCCTCCCAAGTGCTGGGATCAAAGGCATGTGCCACTATTTCTGGCTTTAAAGCTGAACTTTAATGTGTCTGGCTAATATTAAGTTTCTTTTTTTTTTTAAGGCTGTTTCTGATGCCTGGAAGCTATTCTTTCAGCCACAAAGATGGTAATAAATCTTTGCCTCCCACAGTTCAGACCAAGAATTCACTGCAATAAGGTAAACCAACCAAATATATATTCATAAATACACAATCTAGTCTTCATACTTCTCCCTATTTCCTGCTTTGTTTGTGTATGTGGCCTTGGTTTGGGCTCACTGCACTTTCCCCGTGGATCCCAGCAGACAGCACTTAAACAAGAATTGGGCAGCCACTGGGGTCGCAGCACTGACTGCTGTGAGGTGGCTCTCTGACTTGCTTGTGCACG